AAAAGGGTAATTATATATGAATTAAAAAAAAACTGTATCAATAATTATGCAACCTTCCTTTTCATTCATACATTTTTATCATTGACCTCCCATGGGCAATATGGATTTTGATGACCAATCCTAAAAATTAAAACTTTTCCGAAGCAAGGAAGTCATGTGAAGTGATTTTCTTATATTATTCAAATATCTAAATGATATTTCTCTAATTATAGAATACTTATTCAAATGTGCAAATAAGTAAACTTAGAGCTGGAAGTACTTTTTTAAGAAGATTAGGAAAATACTAAAAAAAAATATGATTTCAATTTCTGATGCAGTGTACTGATTGTCCACTATCAGTGTACAGATTGTCCCAGAGAAGATGAAGTTATAATTACAGATTTTTCTAGATTTTCTCTTATATTTTCATAAGGAAAAAGGTTCATTCTAAGTTTTATTTTTAACTGTTACTTGCAAGGAAATATCAACGTAGCTTTAATAGCTTTCTAAAAATGTCATCTTTGAAGAAATAGTAGTTCACCATCAGAAGACACATCCATCTGAAAAACTTGTCATTTGGAGAAGACTTGAAGAGGGTGGTGACAGATAACATACCATGCATTCATTCCAGAACTTCTTGACAGAGAAGGAAAAACTTTTATTGAAATACAAGATGAAAAAATTATAATTTGTAACTTATCAACAAATACCCACAAAAGATTATCAAAAAAGGCAAATCATCACATTCTCCAACCATTTCAGACAATTTATCATATTCACCAAACTATGAATCCAGAAATATACTAACAAACAGTAAGTTATGAACCCAAAGCAAGAGGAAACCTGTTTAAAGTTTCAAAACCAACCAATGAAATATCAATGAACAAAAAAATCTCTAATTCAATTTTATTTATAAAATTGTAGAATTACAGGTTTGCAGGAAAATTTTTCATATATTCCACTATTTTTATTAGCACATGCCTAAGTGTAATGAAGATCCACATCATAATTAGCTTTATTTTTGAAGGATTAGCTTTTTCAAAATCGGGGACAATCTGTATATGTATCAGGGAAAATCGGTAATCAACACAAGCTGATCGGGGACAATCTGTACACCAAAGGTCAAGTTTAATTGCTATTTTTTTTCCCATTTAAATGCTTATTTTGTCCAAATTTCTACTTGCATTTTTCAGATTATTATATTTGAAAAAAATTTCATGAAAAAAAAAACTAATTTATACTCCCAGTTTTCTAAAAGCAGACTAAAACAGATGTTTTTTACTCAAATCAGCTGCAACAGCATCAAAATAAAGAATAAGGAAGATCATGATGTAACTTCAAAGCAATCCCACCTCAGGATATCAATTACTAATGACTGCTGACCAGACAGAATAAATGATCCTTAACAGAACTATAGTGTAAAATTTATCATGAAAAATCAGTACAAAATCGAGGAAAATCAGTACTATAATCGGGGGAAAATCACTTTCTGCCGTACTCGGATATAGGTAGTGCTATATAAATCCTTTCCCTTACAAGACGGATGAAATAAATGGTTTTTACATATATATATAATGTTTATTCATACATCATATAGTCTCACATTGCCGGAGTGGGTGGAGGCAACCGGGGCCTCCCAGCACAATAGATGTTAAGTAAAGTCCAGAACATTTCTCGGGTGTAAATTTAAAAAAATAATGTCTGGTTTAACCCGCCACTGCATGTAAATAAGACTATCCAAAGTCAGAAACTTTGTCAGTTGTTGTCTTCCGGTTTATCTTTATCGTTTTTTTCCCCCCGTTTTTTTCTGGGTTGCATGAAGTGCAAAACCAGCATATTGCTGTGCAACTGCTATTGTTGACTTCATTATTGTTCATTAACAGGATTTCTTTGTACGGATTGATGGGAACTAAGTAAAAGACAGTTCCAATTTCTTGTAATTCAAGTGCATCTCCAATTATTGAGTTGTTTAGATTTTTTTCACCCATTTTTTACATTTTGAATTTGCATATATTTTTAAATGTTCACTATTGTTTAAAAAAAACATTCCCTGCAACGCGGCTATTTGATTTCCCAGTTTTGTTCCATTTCTATTTGTCATTCAAGGGAATTTGGTGTTGATATCGGCAGACCTTTGGTAGTATACTTTTGAATATGATATATTGTAATATATACTGTAAACACTTGTCTTTTGTTAAAGAGTTTATATATGCAAGCTTCTAGATTGTCTTTTGTTAATTATTGTTGTCAATATGGTGTTGGGATATTGTCTCATTGACGTATACCGACATCTCATTTTATTCATATTATCTTTCATCTAAGATTTTTACTTCTTGAACTTACCAATCACTAACTATCAATTTATGGTGTAGTGGTGCTTCCGGCTTGGCCTAGTAAAATTCTATCTTTGTCGGGACGTTCTCTCTAAGCTCAACTGTTTGATGGCTCCGATGACATTCTATACACGCGATTCCGTTATTTTGGATCGAAAACATGAAAATCATACTCTACTGTTGAATTGCTGCTCCAACGAGTTTAAAGCTAGAGCTTGAAATCGGAAATCGCACAATACAATACAATATACATTAAACTTTATAATATTTAGAGTCGGTACTGATATTTGAACAGACAAACATAAAGTTCTTTAGAGCTTTTATAAACGACATGAAACATATACATATATACAGTAGTAAATACACACACTTTACACAACACACACATGCATTTATGGTTTCATAAAACTACAGTAAATGTACTTTTAGTAATTAAAAAGCTATTCCATGTTAGCGTAAGTAGTACGTTATTTAGAAGCACTATAGAAATTTTGCATGCAGCATTGTATAAACACTAAACTTTAAAGCAGTAACATTATAATTTAAGTATTGGACATATTAGGCTTTACAACAAATATTGCAGTGGCGCGAGTCACCATTCCTTGAATTTATCATTTTTTTTAATTGTTGGAAAGATCATTTGTGTTCTTAAATGGTTTGAGAATTCGTTCCACAATTTTGCACTAGCATATCATAATGAATTAATGCCATACCTTTTAATTCTTATCCGAGGGAATAGCTGACAAATTCTGGTATCAAAACAATAATTAGATTTTTTATTTTAATTAAGTCATATAAGTATATGAGGGACTTTCTTTCTAAATAATTCTATATACACAAATAGTCATAGTTCTTAGACGTCTGACTTCCAGTGTAGGCATTTTCAATTTTAATAACAAGTTTTTTGTATATGAGGTATTGTAGTCATTATAGATAAAGCGTAAAGCTCTTTCTTGTATCCCCTCTATCGTATATTGACTATTGGGATGAGGGGAGTACAGTGGCGCTTACCTTGACATAGTACATGTAGTAAATGTAGCTTCACTAATAGATAACTCATTTAGATTAGTTGATAAACAGGGTTCTCACTATTGATTTTTGAAGGCGAGTCCAGGGACTCGTCATTTTTGGCCATGGTGAGTCCAACAGTAAGAAGATATTTTATTGCAATATACATGATTCATCATTTTAGCCTCCATGACATAATAGAGCAATGAAATGACATTGAATTCAGATTACTTTTAAACTTTTGCTATAAAATGATGATATGCATGTTCAGTTTATACAAAATATTTCAATTTTGTTACATCTTTGGACTCATCAGTTTTGAAAATGGTGAGTCCAGACAGATTTTGATGAGTCCAAGACTCATGGACTCGCCTTAGTGAGAACCCTGATAAAAATATGTTTTACTATGCCAGACGCCCCGGTTTCGACCACCAGTTGTCACAGTCGTAATTTTGAAAGTTATGTACTACAATACCATGCTACAATATAATAAAATAGTTAAAAGACTTTTGTAACGATCTAGTCTTCTGTGAGGACCTAGAGGGTCAATATTGTATTCGTATGGAAAAAAACCAATGTCCTTAACATTTCATACCAATATTACCTATATTTCACACCTTTTTGCATTTTACCTCCATGATATGACTAAATTAGTGTTTGTGAGTCCTGTGTGGAAAGCAAAATATACCGTAATCCAAATGCTGAGTTGATGCGTCAATAGTAAAATTCTTCCATTGTCATATGAAGGAGCAGACCCATATCATGTGTATTTGTCGACATAGATTTAATGTGACGTCAACACTCTGCTGCAGTAATTAAGGACTGGAGGTTATTTGACAGAAAAACCTTGGCAATTGTGTTTGCAAGACTAAAATGATTGATGGTTTTAGACTTATGCAGATGAAGAGTACTGATCAAAAATTTCAATATTTAGACCTGTCACAAAGTAAGAATTTTAACCTTGTATTGTTATGTAATTTTTAACGAGACATTCATTTATACTTGTTTGCTTTAAATTTGCACCAAAACTTTGAACTTGCAAGTGCAGATTTTAAAAAATGCGCGGCAAAAAAGGTCCTTAATCGGTGATAAATGTTGTACATGTATGTGAATATTCCGGATTGCAAATGGTAGGTCCAGATTTTTTACTGAATACTAATCAACAATTTTTCAGTATTCAAAAAATATACTTTTAATTTGTGAGACTCTACATTTAAATAAAGACATGGATAGATTTTATCTTTTGGCAATACGCTTTTTAACAGAAACTGAATAAAAACAAAGAAATATATTCGATTGATTATTTTTCTAATTAAAACTTTGCTTTATAACTATAGGGAGAGAACACACACATATGTTTAAAGGAAAAAAGTCAATGTATCCCGGATTTATCTTATTTAAAAATTATATCCGTTATATATCCTTTTACTCACACTTCAGTTTGTGTGTGTATATATATAGTATATATGACCCTTTCCAAATATAAGACTTTTGCACAACCTACAACCTACTGGTTGAACAAAAAAAAAATATATTTGTATATATATTTTCAAAACAGCACAATTTTAACCATATTTTAATATAGTTAAAAAATTTCTATTGTTTGTATAAAAAAAATGCTTCTCTATCATGGTTGTTGAAAATATAAGTAAATCAACACTTCATTCAAGTAAACAGACACCTACCGGAAAGAGACGAGACATTGCGGAGTCACACGGAAAATAAGGATCTGAGCGCATGCGAAGATTAAGTTGACAGAGCAGAAGACAATACACAAATATTTGTTATTGTTTTGGACATATTCAATTTAAGAGTTGTGAAAATTGACAATTAGTTAGCGGATGATTATGAAGAGACGGAATGTCGATTGCGGCAAAATTCGACGGATCCCCAAAAGAACAAAAATAACGGACGGTTTCTACGGAAGGTGATTTTCCATTTCCAATATGGCAGCAAAAATGTTTCAGAGGATAAATATGTATAATCCAATATTGATGTTGTTTCCAAAATACCTCACTATGTTGTTTCAATTTACATGTATCTCATCATAATATCAAATGCTAACTATTCGGGGAAAGGATGATAACATGGCGATAGCAGATTCTTTGTTCGCAGTCTTTATTTTCATGTTAATTAGGTTACCTGGAGAGGATTATTTCCCCTGTTAAGTCTGCATGTTTTGGTTTGCGTTATTTATATATCTTATTAATTTATATTTTTGATTTAAAAATGAAATCATACATAGAAATAGCAGATCTAGGGATTTTGATTAAATATTTCCTGGTCAGTGACTGCCATTAACTATGTGTTTATAATGTATAATTAAAAATATGAAATTGCATTTTATTGAGCAACACAATTTATTGATACAGTTGTACTCTAAAAGTTCAGGTTTGAGCCAAATACATATTGTAAATTCCCATGTTAACCAAGATAATCAATAGTATACACCTGTCAAAATGCCATATTCTCACTCACACTTTAATTAAAGTTGCCTTGGTTACAGGAAATCATGTTAATTGATTTTTAACACTATGTCCTAAATGTGTAATAATTTCATTATGTTTGATATTAAAACTCAATGACTTATAAACTTACTTCAAGTACTCTGATCAGAACATTTGCTTTGTTGAAAGCAACCATGTACTTTAATTTATGCTTGTTATTCCAAATGATGGTCATGATGGTGACAGTATTTTATATTTGATTTATGATCAAACATTTACATACTTTAAACTAACCGATTCTTTTTTGCAAATAAAAAATTACTTGGTTAAGTTAACCCTTTCCTCCATGGAATTTTTTTTTAATGTACCCGATTCGCATAGGATTTTTCAATAAAATGTTGAAAATAAGCTTAGCTTACTTTAATGAAATATTGACAGTACCTTAAATAGACCAGTTAGATAAAGAATATCTTATAACTTTTTCAATATCACACCCGTATCAACCTGAGACACCAATATAATCCCAAGAGCTCTATTCGAGGGATTACATGTATATTGGTTGAGGGTTGATACGGGGTGTGATATTGAAAAAGTCATATCATATACACTTTATTATATACTTCAAGTAGATGTTTTCCCCCCGTGAATTGATGCAAGTAATACAGAATAAGGGTTTGATAAAGCCTTTACAAGCATAACTGTTATCGATGACGTGACGTCATAGAGGATTAGGGGTTTGATAAAGCCTATGTAACCGTGACTGATATCGATATCATCACGTATGGTTGATACAGCACGATTGTCATTGATTGTATTACACATACAGTTTACCTGTATTTACTACTTAGAATATAATAAACTTATTTAATTTTGGTCAGTTATATATCAAAGTAAGATCTTCCCTTGTACATACATTGAAAAAATGAGAAAATCGCTAAAATAAATCACGGTTAAGTCAGCTAGAACCTGTCCTATTCAGGGATCTCTATGGATGAAAATTTAACGATGGAGGAACTTTCACCATGACAAAATCCTGCGTCTACGGCGTGACGTGATCGAAAACATTTCATTCCTTCATTTCCATGTAAGGAATGGTGAACAGGCTGATATATTGCTTATTTTATTTATTTCATTATAGAATAACAAATATTTTCATTAATTGTCATTTGTAACAATTCCAATGCCAAGCCTGCTGCTCCCCCTTAGTCAAGAATGATCACAAGCTGTCCTTGGGGTTCCCACTTGTTATTTTGCTATTTTGGTAATTGTATAGGGCTTAAAAATCTGTTGGATATTTAATAAAAATATTTTATTTCACTACATCAAAGTCAGAAGTCATGAATAGGTATCGACGATATGCAGCATCAACTACCAGAAGTTTCGTACTTGTTTTGTAAAACGCTGAAAAAAAGATTTTGAGGGCAAAAGTTTGCAACATAAAAACTTTTTAATGACTTTAGATAACTAATTTCATAGTAATATATGCAACATTCATCTTAAACCGGAAGACTGTATGTATCAATTTGATTGTAAACTACGGAATGAATTCGGAAATTTACGAAATTTCCTCAGATATGATCAAGTTGCAGTTAATATTTGTGTTTTTACTTTTAAACTTGTAAAAATATTAAATATTATCTATAATTGCTGTGCTCGTGTTGTTTGGCATGAAATTATGTTCAGTTTTACGTCTTAGTTTGTACTCGTTTAAAAAGGGGGATGCTGATTGCGTAAGTCGTCAATATAAGCACGTGTTCGACTTGTAAAACTTTTTTCTTTATTACTGGATTAAACATTTATTTTTTAATCTAAATTTCCATTTGCATTTGCTGAAAACGTAATTAAATAATGCAATCAGTCGTCTATCTTGATCAAGAGTTCTCCTGTCAGGTGTGTCGATCTACCTGTACAAGTAATTAGTGATCTTTAGCCGGATATCCCTCAGGGCTTGAAAATTATAATCAGGAGTACCCTTTGGAGTTTAATACAAAAAGCCTAAGGGTTAATTGATTATAATTGCTAACAAAAATGGCAGCGGCTAGAAAAACGAAAACAAATTTTGACAATGGCGGGTAGTATCATTTGACGATGGCGGAAGATAATTTAACGATGGCGGGATCTTTTGACGGTGGTGGAAGATATTTTAACAATGGTGGGCTGCCATCATAAAACAGGTCATGGAGATCCCTGCTATTACTAAGTACCATAACTAACTCGGCCTTATGTTTCGTAGATTTTGTTTTCTGTTATGTTTTCACTATTTTTTACATTTTTTATGATAACTTAATTTTTAACAATGTTTATACATGTTATATATAAATTGAAGTGGCAATAATAAATTTTTATGAGAAAAATAAATAAAAATAATATACAATAAACTTATATGCATAAAATATTGTTAAACATATGTTTAAATTGAATAAAAGGAAATTGAAATAGGAATTTTATATACAGTAACATGATATATAATACTTTAAATTTAAGGGATAACTACTGCTATTGGATATTATTTTGTATATATTGTTGGTATGGCTTTTTTGGTAAACTAGTGTTTTAATGATTGGCGTGTTTAATCTTTATTGCTCATAATGGTATACAAACATAGAGAACTTTCAATGTTTGACAATGAATGGCTTGTTAAAATTTTCATTAAGTTGTAATTCATTATTAATGGATTAATTGAGATAAAAACTAAAAACTTTTCAATGGTCACATCAAACAGATTCACATAGAATCTTACAGTCTTCACGCTCAACCACAGGCCCAGCAGCCCAGGCTTGTAAAATTGCTGGCGGGCCTGTAAAAATCATCTCTACAGGCCAACATAGTCTAACTAAAATCTTCCAAATATTGAGCTCTGGGCAGGTAGATTTAAAAGTTTATCGTGAAGACTGATCTTACCTTTTTGTAAAGGTAAGTCGAAGTAAACCTTATTATTACACCTCTTTGGAAAAAAAGGAAAATCTTATTTATGTAGTTAAATTTTTTTTTGTGTCATCATGAACATTTTAATTATGAAAAGTGGAGGTGCTCTACCTAAAAACTATGTTGAAAACATAGTTTTGTTAATAAAAAGTCACAAATTTTATGAAAACATCTTTTTGTGCTAGGATTTCAACGAAAAATTGACATCTTGGTATAATATGCTATTCTTAAATGATTCCTGGCTGTGAAAATTATCACGATTTTCGATTTGTCTGTTAGGACACTTAAAAATTCAACGAACTTGGATTTTAATGAAAATTTATTTAGTTTAAACTTTATAAAAATCTGATGCTTTTTTATGCTCCCTCCGCAGCAGAGGGGGCATTTAGTTTTACCCTTGTCCTTCTGTACGTCCCAAAATAAGTTTCCGTTCTCTAACTTTAGTTTGCCTCAACCAATTGTTATAAAACTTATACACACCAAACACAGAACACAGATCAAGTTCGAATTTGGGTGGCGTCACTATTGCCATTCTTGAATTATGTCCCTTTGTAAATTGCAGAATTTGCTGTATATTTACAATCGGGGGCATCTGTGTCCAATGGACACATTCTTCATTTATTTCTCTCTACCTCATACAGTGTTCCAGCTTGAATCTCAGGGCAGAAGGGTGCTAGTTGTCTGAAAGGGCACTTTAGCGTTTAAACCCAGATTTTAAGGGCAATGTTGGACAGTGTATAAATTACCTTGAATATTGCTAGGCTCAGCTGGAGAACATTAGTTGTATTTAAACCATATTCAGAAATTAATGTGTTCTTGATGATGGTTCCAGTAAGAATTTTTTTCATCAAATTATCATACCATGAAGCAAAGCATATCATTCTGATGTTAATCTAAACAAACTTGCAGTCTTCACACTTAACTTTTTCAACCTACAAGTCAGTAGGACTTGTGGTTCATAAATTTTTACAAGACCACACAAAATATTATCACCGCTGAGCAGCGCGAAGCGCTGCGTACCAGCTAGGAGGGTCTGGGGGCATGCCCCCCAGAAAAATTTTGAAAAATTAGATGCAAAATCCTGCATTCTGAGAGCTTTGAGTGTCATGTTTTGAAGATAAATTTAATAGGAATAACATTGACAATTGGAGAAAAAAGTAAAAAGTAGCTGTTATAATAATTTTATTCTCTAGAATGCTGTAACATTTTTTAGCCTCTGATGGTTCAGCTGCAGGCTTCTCATATTTAGAGCAATAAATTTGTGACTCTTATTCTTCTCGTGAATTTTAATAGTATCCAGTTTAAAGTTGTCACTACCTGGGGTCACAAACTGTGAATCCATTTTATGTTCTGTGCACCATGAACAGAACATTTTGTTTTTCAACTCATACATCAACCACGGACTTCCTTCTAACCAACTGGAAAGGAACTGACGCGACCATGTAGCGTCGTACTTTCTCTTCCTTACATTTTCATCGGCGGGGGCTAAAACAGCTTCCCCGGACGAGCTCGGCCAGTACATTGCCAAAGAAACATTTTGGGAATATAAGTTAGGGGGAAGGAAACCAATGATCTGTCATTTCATACAATGTCTCGATCCAGTATTAATCGCAATACGTTTAATTCATGTGAAAAAGCGCAAAATAGAAACCGATTTATTGGTATCACTAATTACCAAAGACGCAAAGAGCGTACCAACTACCGAAAAATCTACAAGCCCAGTCGGACTTTTGAACAACAAATTTGACAAGTCCGCGGCCGATTTTACTGGCCAGGACCGTCGGACTTGTGGCTAAATTCGAAGACTGAACTTGTACATTTGGTATGGAAAATAATCATCAGAAATTTCAATGTTTTATAACTTATACCAAAATAAACAAGTAGTTTTGAAAGATGGAGTTATACATGCAAAATTGAATGTTGAATGTAATTAAATTATCTACATTTAAATTACTTGTTCAAACATATAGTATATATGTTATTGAGAGTTATTTATTATCATTTGAATTGTTACAAAAAAGTAATTTCGAGTGCACACCAAAGTGCTCCTCAGTAAGGAGTTTTATAAATATAACAGGTGAGACAGGAGATGATCATATTTTATATTGATGCAATAATATATTGCAGAAGGTATAAACAGTTACTTTTTTCTCCATCATTGTTAAAAATAAATTTGTTGAGTGATCCTATGTCAGGAGGATTATAAAATACAAGAAGTATTAAAAACAGGAAGTGAATCTTGTTATGTTCAAAGTACAAATTTCTATGATTCCTCTTTAAATTTCATACTCATCGTTATGAAACAAAACATTTTTTACCAATTAAGTCAAAACTATGTATGCCTTTAAAATTGTTTAAGATTTTATTTTTTATGTTACAATGTATGCCTACTGAAATAAATTTTTTCAGGTGTACATGCTGTACATAAACATTACAAATAGATAACATGTGGACATTTCATTCTGTATTAAATATCTAGTATTTGTTCAATTATTTTAAATCCACTAATTAGCAGTAAACAATCATTAACAAAGGTGATAAAACTGCCAAAGCATTAGGTATTTAACTTAATCCCATTGTCAGTTAATTAGTGTTAAACAATCAGGTAACAATTTTACCGGAAACGCCGGTAGGCATAAAATTTGGAAATTTTATTTTTTTGAAAAGGCAGAGGGATGCATTCTTTTACTTTGGAGGGCAGAAGGGCGGGGGTGATGGCACCAAGGGCGGGCCGCCCTTCTATTTAGGGCAGGCGGGAACATTGCTCATACATAAACATGCCAGTGGGCTCGTGCTGACATGTCAGTTTTCTAGTGAAATAGAATGTTCTCTGTCATACTTAGTTAAATGGTGAATGTAAAGGTGTCAACAATACACATGTCAGTAATTGGTTAAAAAGGTGCATATGATACATTATTAAAAAACAAAAAATAGAAATAAATAAATTAAAAAGGATTTTTTATAGGCCAAATTTGTTATCAGTGAGCTCGAGTTTGTTATATGTAGAAAGGGCTAGGCGTGAAATTAAGTATTTATGAAAATATGTTGGTTTACAGTATATGTAAATTTGCAGGTACTTTTGTACCTGGTTATGCAAGCAAACAAAAGTTCACTCAATCAGTAAGATCAATTTCAGTTAGTCCTAGATATGCACAAGTAAATACTTTAGTACTTACAGACTTACTGTGTCTTTACTTATCAGAAATTTAATGGCAAAGCCTAAATGAAAAACATTAAACCAAATATCTTCAATTTTTTAAATGTTTTCTTTCAGTACCTTTTTGTACCTGAAGTTTTTGATGGTTTGGGCTCTTGTCCTGATGGCAGATTTCATATTAGAGTTCCGGTTTGAGTATCTGTGGCCATTCTGGTTATTGGTTCGCAGTGTCTATGATTCATTCAAATATCAAGGATTGGTAAGATTAGCATTCAGTTATTAATCATAATATATAAAAAAAAGTTAATTTTGTGTTCATTTATATTTGTTGTTTGTGTCTTCTGGATGAAATTATTTTAAAATCAAAATATTTACTTTCAGTAAAAGTTGTTTCAGTATAACTAAGATTAATTTTAGTCATAAGATTTTTGTGAGCCATTGGGGAACATGCTATAATATTGATGCTGCAGTTGTAGAAGCAAACATGAATTTCTTATACTCCTATGTAGTTCTCTTTGCCTGCTTTAGCCTCTCCATACTATGAATGCTGGTGGTTGTCAGTGATTTACACTTTGATATCCTCAGTAGATAATTCCATTGGTAATATATAAGATGTCATAAAACAAGAGTGTCACCAGCAATCATTCTGTTTCACAGTGAATCACTTAACACAAGCATGAATGATTTTTGACTGAATTGCCTTATGTGTTATGTATATGTTATTAAAAAGCAGTACCCAGGGCTCCAAACCATTCAGGTTCATATTATCTACCTCTATTTCTGGTTAAGATGAAGTATATTTAGTGGCAAAAAGTTTGTTTTTATAATAACGAGAGAATTTTAGCTTTTGACAACAAGCCATTTCTTACACATGTTTCCGTATGTAATATTTTCAGGCATTTTCCGTGTTTTTCGTGTGCATTGCTGTCACCTCAGATGTGGTGTGCTATCTGTTTATACCTGTTCAGTGGTTATTTTTTGCTGCTAGTACTTACGTCTGGGTCCAGTATGTATGGCATACAGGTAGGTCAAAGGTTACATATTGATATATATGAAGGTTTCATTTAAACATCAACCCTGAAGAGATATATACATTGTGATATCCCAAAAAAAAACCCTTAAATACTTTATTTTTCTGAGCAGCTTTATTTTACAAAACTATTTTGGGCAGAAATCACAACCAAAATAAACCAACTCCTGTCAAAGAAGGAAAAGGAGAAAAGTAACAGTATAAATAAACATATGGTATGAGTTTTGCTCATTGTTGAAGGCAGTACATTGACCTATAGTTATTAATTTCTATGTCATTTGGTCTCTTGTGGAGAGTTGTCTCATTGGCAATCATACCACATTTTTATGCCCCTGCCGTAGCAGTGGGGCATTAAGTTTTACCCTTGTCCGTCTGTATGTACGTACGTACGTCACAAAATTGGTTTCCGTTCTCTAACTTGAGTTTGCATCAACCAAATGTTATGAAACTTATACACAATGCTTATTACCAACAAAAACAGATCAAGTTTGAATTTTGGTGGCGTCATTTTAACCGTTCTAGAGTTATGCCCCTTTATAAATGGAAAAATTGCAAAATTTTTAATTTCCATTCTCTAACTTAAGTTTGCCTCTACCAAATGTTATGAAACTTATACACAATGCTTATTACCACAAAACACAGATCAAGTTTGAATTTTGGTGGCGTCACTTTTACCGTTCTAGAGTTATGCTCCTTTACAAATGGAAAAATTGCTGAATTTTTCGTTTCCGTTCTCTTACTTGTGGCAGATTTTACAATAAAAAGGAAGTATTGCTTTTTTGTATCCATCAAAAAAGGTATTGCTGAAACTGTGAAACAGAGTGTGAAATGAAGTAATGCATTATTTTATTTAATAAAAGGTGTCTTTCTGAGTAAATAAAAATAAAAATCACCCTGTGTTTATGTTTTTTGTTAGAATTAGTGGGTTTTCAATTTCAAAATATTGGACATTGAATAGACATTGTGACCTACTTGACTGACATCTAGCTTATTTGGAGTGGAATTTTAAAGTATTATTTTTAAGTGGAGCCTAATAACATGGACTTATATTTTAATAAAAAGTATTCTTTTGTGTTTTAATTATAATTCTAAGGCACATTTTTATTGGTAAAGGCTAAAAAAGGTAATTTAATAATATTATTGCGAACGTCACATCTTTTTCGTCCATTGGGGTATGTTACGATCGCAATTTATTTGTTGGTTCTCAGACGGCCCGTTGTTATTTTTAACTCGGGTTTTATAAATAATTGATATAAATAGCAATCACATTAAATTTTGATGACGAAAGGGGGTCAAAGGACTTTCGGAATCAATATCATTGGCTGTTTTAGTTTTTGCGAACGTTACTGCTCTACGTTTCCGTCCAAATCAATGTCACGTGAGCAATATATATTTAGATCTGTAACTCTCCTGTATAGGAGTTACGATATCGCCCTTTGCAGAAATGGATGCGGAGCCGGTTCCCTCACATAATGGGAAAGCAAAGAAGGTAAGATGTCTGTTATATCGTTACACGAGGTCCTTTATTGTATTCCGTCCATCAAAAAGACATTCGCAACAAAACGTTGAATCAAGTAATGTCATTTAAATGTCACATTAAGAAACTTTTGTTTTGGTTTTTCATCTCCCAACGAGATTTGACCATATTTTACGTACAGTTGAGTCTTCTAGTTCATCAAAATACATTTCTTTTAATAATTTGATGCGAACGGTATAACATGGACAGATTTTTATGTAGCGATCGTTACTTTGGGACAGTATATTGTTGATGTGATGTTATATAAGAAAATTAAAACAGTCTAATATAGTAATGAAGGGGCGCTCATTACTATATATATTTGAAGGTAATAGTCTTTCCTTTTCGAAGAGCTTCATACCACATCTTCTATTTTTATAATAACAACTTAGTTCATTAATTGCCAAAATTAGTCCAGTTCTTAAAATTGTCAAAATTGGCATAAAAGTCATTGCTCACAGACAAATTTACCAAATGGTAAACATACATTTGATTTTCAGGGGTATCTTAGCATAATCTCAGGTAATCATTAAAAGAAGATGGTAACTTGAACTGTTCTAGCTATAATTAATGATGACAACATATCTTTAATTACCATATATACTGAAAGCATTCGGCAAAAAACTATGTCTTGATTGAAGTAAATTTGAAGGCAGTACTTCAATACATTTTAAAAATTTTAATAGTTGTTCATTTTTTAAATTGTATTCATATACCAGTAATATTTTCAATTTATTTTCTTTCAGATGCAGTCCTCCAGAACTAACAGAGACGATAAATTTTTCAAACATTAAAATATTTTTAAGCTTCTTAGTCTAGGCAGTATTTTCGACTTTTGAATGCAAATGCATCATGAATTAAATGGGCAAAGCAAGGTGTTCTGAAGACTACAAAAGACTTTCTTTACCAAAATCCATGGTGAAAGTCATTGAGGCATTGATCACTATGGTATTTCCATCTTCACTGCGAATTGATTTGAAATTGTTCATTCTTCTGTTTTTTGATGTTTCTTGGTAGACATTACATGGGCATTTTGGCTTGTGCTTCATAAATAATCCATATCCCCCTTCTGTTTTGAGTGCCAAAGGTTGCAGGTTAAATTCGTAGCCAGATAAAATAAGACATTAAAATTGGGTCTTTGCTGCTTCTCATCCAAGCCAAAAGCATCTAGGAGTAAAAGCAAAGGTCAGCATACAGAGGCAACAGAGTCTGTATAATGTGTCTTTGTGGAAAATCCATCTAAGCGTGTCGGTCTAGTACAAAGCAGAGATCATATTACATCAACTTGTTCTCTTCCTGATGTGCACATACCAGGTTGACACTGGACGTTAAACAATAATTAATCCATCCATCCATAAAATCTGGTGTGTCAGTCTGGTACAAAGAACAGTTCTTATTGCATTTGGTACTCATATCATATCAACATCTCAGTTCACGACTAAAGATATGAACAGATCTAGAAGAATCATTCAGTTACATCTGAAAACTTTTTCGATAAAGATATCATGAATCTTATTTTTCACCTCCTGTAACAATTTTGGCCCTATTTAGTGCGACCCATCTAGATGGCAAATTTTCTTAATGTATTACTGAAGAAGATGTTGCTAATGTTACTATTACAAATTGGTTTCTTGTGTATTCATTTGATACAAAGTACACCTGCCAATGACATTCTGTATATTTAGATATTCTAAACCAGACTGTACAATTTAATTACTCAAAGCATTTATAAAGCACGACTGTGTGCATACATTTTATTTTTTAAAGATGCTGTTGCTAATGTGACATGTCCAAATGTCGCTAACGTTACTCATTTTTGTCTCCGTCACATTAGCAACAGCCTTAATTCAAAACATGTTTTCTTTTAAGAATCTGGCACAAATTAAACTAGTAAAAAGTAAATATTGGCAACACATGCAACTTTATACTTATTCAATTCTTTTTACTGTGTATTAGATGTCATTTACTTTGAAAAACATAAACTTTTGTCCCATTTTCCATATGTCACATGTCCATCATCTTAAACATATTTTTTTTCCACTAATATATTAGAAATAGTAATGTGAAAGATGCTGAATATCTTCCTAAACCCTTTACCTTTTAGAATTTATTTAGGTTTTATTGCTGGTTAAAGGCTTTAAACCAAAATTAATGAAATTTTGGACCAGGGTGCAAAAGGAGAAAATGTGGGTATCCTGTTTCCTTGGCAACCATTCAATAATCTCTTACATTATTTACTCCTTTTTTGAAGAATTATGATCTACTGATAATAAATTTTCAGAAAATATAATTTTTTTTCGTGTAATGCCTTCTTTAATTATTTATCATGGAAGTAGGAGGCAGAACACAATACTGTAAAATCTGCCTTTAGTTAGCCTCAACCAAATGTTATGAGACTTACACACAATGCTTATTACCACAAAACTCAGATCAAGTTCAAATTTGGGTAGCGTCATTTTTACCGTTCTTCTGTTATGTCCCTTTATAACTATATGATTTGCAAGCGGGGGCATCATCTGTGTCCACATGTGGACACTATCCACATTTATCTTATTATACGCCCGTTTACGGGACATATTATGGTATACGTCTGTCCGTCTGTCATCAACATGTCAGACCTTAGCTCAAAAACGCTTTAACCAATTTGCATAAAACTTTGGTGAATTGTTTATGTCTATTGACGTGAGCTCCCTTTCATTTTTTATAAATTTTAAATTTTACGTTTCTGAGTTATGGGGTTTTATTCATTAAAAAAAGGGGGATTTTCCAGTTTTCTGACAATAAATCAAGAATGCTTTCACCAACTTGCAAGAAATTGTGGTGAATTGTTTATATCTATTGACATGAGCTCCCTTTCAATTTTTATAAATTTTAGATTTTACTTTTCCGAGTTACAGGTTTTTATCCATAAAAAAACAGGGTTTTATTCATAAAAAAAAGGGGGGATTTTCCAGTTTTTGGACAAAAACTCAAAAATGCTTTCAGCAGTTCTTATGAAACTATGGTGAATTATTTATATCTATTTAAGTAAGCTCCCTTTAGAATTTTATAAATTTTACATTTTACATTTTTGAGTTATGGGGTTTTATTCATTAAAAAAGGGGGGATTTTCCAGTTTTCGGACAATAACTCAAAAACGCTGTCAGCAATTCTCATGAAACTTTGGTGAATTGTTTATATATATTGATGTAAGCTCCCTTTTGATTTTCATAAATTTCTAATGTGACATTGAGAATTAATTGAACTTTATTTGTCTATAGTCTGACAACAGATTTACTAAGTATTGCGCAACAGCACAGTGTATTGCACAACAGCAAGAAATCTTTAATTGAATATAAATTCAATTCATATAACCAATTTCAAGTTATTTGACTTCATTTATTCAGAAACCTTTAATATGTCAAATATTTAATTACAATCCAAATTCAGACCTGTATCAAGCTTGAATATTGTGTCCATTTTTGCCCCAACTGTTCAAGGTTGGACCTCTGCGGGCGTATCCAGCTGCGCTCAGCGAGCAGTTTATTTTTACATGTTGACATTTCTTGATAATCTGAACTAACTTTTTATACGACCGCAAAAAAATTTTGTGGTCGTATATTGGTATGACGTTGGCGTCGTCGTCGTCGTCGTCGTCGTCCAAATACATATTGGTTTTCGCACTCTAACTTTAGTTTAAGTGAATGGATCTTTTTGAAATTTTACCATAAAGTTAAATACCACAAAAGGAAGGTTGGGATTGATCTTGGGGGTTATGGTACCAACAGTTAAGGAATTAGGGGCCAAAAAGGGGCCAAAAATGAGCATTTTCTAGTTTCCAGACAATAACTGTGGAACGGTGTATGGATCTCTCTGAAATTATACTACAAGTTTCCATACCACAAAGGGATGGTTAGGATTTGCTTTGGAGGGTTATGGCTCAAACCGTTTAGGAATTAGGGGCAAAAAAGGGGGAAAAACAAGGTTGTCCTGGTTAATGGACAAATACTTTAGTACAAAACATAATTTAAAGCAGTGTAAGGGAGATAAATCAAATACATCATTGAAATTATCTCCCTTACACTGCTTTTAAATTATGTATAAAGTAATGGTTAATGAACAATAAAGATAATCTAAAACAGTGTAAGGGAGGTAATCCAAATACAACGTTTTGGTTACTTCCCTTACACTGCTTTTAAATTATGTTTAAAGAAATGCATATTTATAAAGGAAGACCAGTAAAAATATCTGCAAATGTTTTCATCTTTTTTTTTTACAAAAAAATCCATATGAAAGATTTTACACTATATTTTTATTAATTCTATTATAAAATAGATTGAGTTAGCACTATGGTAAATTTAAATGGGTAATTATGGTTGCCAACTCCATTGGAAATTTGAATTGAGATTATGACCATATCTTGAGGGAAAGAATTTTTTTTGGGGAAAAAGGGGGGGGGGATAAAAAGAAATTGTGGGGAGGCCAATTTTTTCTCATTTCAGATTTCAGAAATTAAAAAGAATTATTCTTCAAATATTATTTTTTTTTCAAATTTCAAATATTGAAAAATTTCAAGAAGTAATCTTTAATTGCACAGTATGGCGCATTAGATTTGTAAAATCTTTGATCACATTTATTTATTTGTTATGCCGAATCTAACAGTGTATTTAGATTTTTAATTTTGGGTCCAGTTTTCAAATTGGTCTACATTAATGTCCAAAGGGTCCAAAATTAAACTTTGTTTGATTTTAGCAAAAATTGAATATATGAGGTTCTTTGATATGCTGAATCTAAACATGTATTTAGATTTTTGATTTTTGGCCCAGTTTTCAAGTTGGTCCAAATTGGGGTCCAAAATTAAACTTTGTTTGATTTCAACAAAAATTGAATATATGGGGTTCTTTGATATGCTGAATCTAACCATGTATTTAGATTTTTTATTTGTGGACCCCGTTATCTAATTGGTTCATATTGAGGTCAAAAGGGTCCAAAATTAAACTTTGTTTGATTTCATCTAAAATTGAATTATTGGGGTTCTTTGATATTCCAAATCTAACCGTGTATTTAGGTTTTTAATTTTGGGTCCTGTTTTTTAAATTGGTCTACATTGAGGTCTAAAGGGTCCAAAATTAAACTTAGTTTGATTTTAACAAAAATTGAATTCTTGGGGTTCTTTGATTTGCTGAATCTAAACATGTGTTTAGATTTTTGATTATGGGCCCAGTTTTCAAGTTGGTCCAAGATAGGGTCCAGTATTTAAACTTTGTTTGATTTCAACAAAAATTGAATATATGGGGTTCTTTGATATGCTGAATCTAAACATGTATTTAGATTTTTGATTATGGGCCCAGTTTTCAAGTTGGTCCAAATTGGGGTCCAAAATTAAACTTTGTTTGATTTCAACAAAAATTGAATATATGAGGTTCTTTGATATGCTGAATCTAACCATGTATTTAGATTTTTTATTTGTAGGCCCCGCTATCAAATTGGTTCATATTGAGGTCAAAAGGGTCCAAAATTAAACTTTGTTTGATTTCATCGAAAATTGAATTATTGGGGTTCTTTGATATGCCAAATCTAACCGTGTTTTTAGATTTTTAATTTGGGTCCCGTTTTTTAAATTGGTCTTCATTGAGGTCCAAAGGGTCCAAAATTAAAATTAGTTTGATTTTAACAAAAATTGAATTCTTGGGGTTCTTTGATATGCTGAATCTAAACATGTGTTTAGATTTTTGATTATGGGCCCAGTTTTCAAGTTGGTCCAAGTTGGGGTCCAAAAATAAACTTATTTTGATTTCAACAAAAATTGAATATATGGGGTTCTTTGATATGCTGAATCTAACCATGAATTTAGATTTTTTATGTGTGGGCCCCGCTATCAAATTGGTTCATATTGAGGTCAAAAGGGTCCAAAATTAAACTTTGTTTGATTTCATCAAAAATTGAATTATTGGGGTTCTTTGATATTCCAAATCTAACAGTGTATTTAGATTTTTAATTTTAAGTCCCGTTTTTTAAATTGGTCTACATTAAGGTCCAAAGGGTCCAAAATTAAACTTAGTTTGATTTTAGCAAAAATTGAATTCTTGGGGTTCTTTGATATGCTGAATCTAAACATGTGTTTAGATTTTTGATTATGGGCCCAGTTTTCAAGTTTGTCCAAGTTGGGGTCCAAAATTAAACTTTGTTTGATTTTAACAAAAATTGAATATATGGGGTTCTTTGATATGCTGAATCTAACCATGTATTTTGATTTTGGACATTGGACCATAATAGGTAAATTAAAAAAATTCAAGTTCTTAGACCACATTCTTTCTGTGTCAGAAACCTATGCTGTGTCAAATATTTAATAACAATCCAAATTCAGAGCTGTATCAAGCTTGAATGTTGTGTCCATACTTGCCCCAACTGTTCAGGGTTCGACCTCTGCGGTCGTATCAAGCTGCGCCCCAGCGAAGCATTTTATTACAATATAAGAATGTAAAAAGTATGTATTGTGAAATGGTTACTCTTCTTAATCATGTTGGATTAATCTTACTCACATTTATAAATAGTGTCCTGTTACCTGTATTTATTTAATGATATTGAATAAAATAAATATTAGTAATGTTTCATAATTGACATTTGTTTTTAAATACTTGTAAACCACTTCCAACTTCCTATTCATTTTCCTGTAATTATATTTAATCAAAAACAACAATGGATTAAGTTCTGATCTGTGTCCTGAATTTTAAGTTGACCATGCATCAAAAATGGTGATAATATAGAAGTAAAACAAAATTATACAAAAAAAAAACCTTTTGAAAATATGATCTTTTTGCAGAAAGAGGAATATGTCTTCCTACAGTTTCTCTATGGTTGCTGTTTGTCTACATAGAAGCTTCAGTCAGACTCAGAGAATTGAAAGCTTTACCATTTAATCTTGATCTCTGTAGACCATTTGCAGCTCACTGGTAAGATTTGGTGTTTTATGAGGAGTATTCATGTGCTTTGGCAATACAAAACAAATATGGTGTAAATGTTAGTGAGACAGAACCCATATATACAAGTACACCAAAATAGACATGTAATTACACTTTATTTTACTACACTTCATCCAAGAACTACAAACCAACACCATTGCTTGGGTTCAATATTTCCTAGATTTTATTTGAATTCCATCACTGATCAGAATTATGAGCAATTGCTTCCCAAGATTGGTGATTTCATAAAATTGTATATACTACGGTAAAATCACACTGCATTATTTACACATACTTTTTTTTTACTTTGGTTGACATTTCTTTTTTTTCTCTTAAATCATTCACATAAATTTTGTTTCAGCAATACAATAAGAAAATCATAAATAAGGTACTTGAATGCACTAAATACTAAATTTAATGTCAATAGATGTGCTGTGTAATTGAATCAAAGAACAACTGAAGTTTGTAAATTTCTCATAATTTCAGTAAAACCCATATACATTGAAGTTTAAAACAGACTATATTCTTTAATTTATATTTCACAATGCCATTCCCGTTTTGGTTAAAGAGGGAAATTTTTGAAAGGGGTTTATTTTGCTAATTTTTGCAATTAACAAAAAACTGGGTAAATGTGATCTTTAAAAAAGATCAGGGACAAGAAAAAGACGGGTTTGGCTTTCGGGTTTCTGGTGAGGGTAAATTCAGAAATGCTCTTTAATGCTTAAAATTCATGTTCATTTGGCCCTAGAACTCATAAATGACTCATTTAATTTAAACTCTGCAAAAAAATAACCCAGTTTTCAGTACAAAAGATTCAGGAATTGTACATTGTATGTTTAAAGTTTTATATTTTGGTTTCAGTATTGGTTATCCTGTTGTTACACTAGGTTTTGGTTTTAAAAGTTATGTGTCTTACAAGTTTAGATTGGTAAGTTATTGTATAACAAATAATATATACATAACATAAACATACGATTGATTGAGGATATTCACTAGACCATATAAAAGCTTAGTTGATCACAATTATATGAAAAATTCTCTCAAAAGTGAGCTCAAATATCACCACTGTGTTGACCCATTTTACAAATCCATGACAGATTCTGTCAAAAGTATAGACATACAGTAATAATGAGAGAATGGCTACACAATTTTGTACAACAATGATTATGATGTTAGATAAAGAGTGTGTTTATTTCATTCAGTGTACAAAAGAAAAAATGTTTCAACAACAAGTTGTCAGGATCATTGACTGTGTCTGATTATTATTATGTTTTGTTTTTGAATTGATCTTTTAATATCATAACTTGTGAACTATTGCCATCACTTATGGTGGGTCATATTTCCTTCAATCTGTAATTGATTAAAAAAGATTATACATTCAAACCACTGGCTAAGTTGGAACCAAGCGCTGTGGGGAATATGTTAATGGTTTCCGTCTGTCCAAAACACATCAATACTAATAGTCTGTTTGATATAAAGCTTTCATACTTGGTAGGATTATTTATAGTCATATTCTTTTGACCATGCTATATCGTCAGTCTGATTTGTATTCATTGATATTGTCTACCGTGGAACATAGATGTTGAACTGGGCTTCCTTCATGGATTTATTTTTTACTGTCATGACATGCAAATTTTTTTATGCCCCCGCTGTAGCGGAGGGGGTATTAAGTTTTACCCTTGTACGTCCGTACGTACGTCCCAAAGTTGGTTTCCATTCTATAACTTAAGTTTGCTTCAACCAAATGATATGAAACTTATACAAAATGCTTATTACCACAAAACACAGATCGAGTTTGAATTTTGGTGGTGTCACTTTAACCGTTCTAGAGTTATGCCCCTTTACAAATGGAAAAATTGCTGAATTTTTTGTTTCCGTTCTCTAACTTTAGTTTGCCTCAACCAAATGTTATGAAACTTATACACAATGCTAATTACCACAAAATACAGATCAGGTTTGAATTATGGGGGTGTCACCTTAACCATTCTAGAGTTGTGCCCCTTTACAAATGGAAGAATTGCTGAATTTATCGTTTTCGTTCTCTAACTTAAGTTAGCCTCAACCAAATGTTATGAAACTTATACACAATGCTTATTACCACAAAATATAGATCAAGATGGAATTTTGATGGTATCACTTTTACTGTTCTAGAGTTATGCCCCTTTACTAATGGAAAAATTGCTGAATTTTTCGTTTCTGATCTCTAACTAAGAAGTTAGCCTCAACCAAATGTTATGAAACTTATACACAATACTTATTACCACAAAACTCAGATCAAGTAGAAATTTGGGTAGCGTCACTTTTAACGTTTATCAGTAATGTCCCTTTATAACTTTATATGATATGCAAGCGGGGGCATCATCTGTGTCCCATGGACACATTCCCCATTTATTTTTTCTGCTGAAACACACACCAAATGTGCCAGTTTCAAGAAAATTTGAGCTTTAGGTGATCCTTTTGACTGGACTTTCACTAAGCACAGGCACCTTTTCCAATCACAAAAATGAAATGAGGAGTAATTACTGTAGAAACCTAGTTAAAACCCCCTCACCTAATGATTATATAACTATCAAGGTTTATTGTCTGAAAGCTGAGTTTACCTGTTAACCTGACATTGAATTATTACAGAAAAGTCAAGAGTGATTATCAGCGGAGTCAAATTGTATATTTGATTGTTATTATCTAAACTGTTTGAAATGAAGATTGTTTGATTATACTGACATAGATAGGTTTTAACATATGTTTTTTGTACGTACTTTTTTTAGCGCAAACAGAAAGATGTTCAGAAAGAAAACGAATTTTATTATAATTTAATAAACCAAGCACTGCCAACAGAATTACAAAATCAGTATATAGAAAAACAGAAAGGTAGGAACTTGTAATCTTGATATAAACATCAAATATTTGTTTCAGACATACTAAGAAAGGAATACCAGTATGGTTGGGATTGTATAATGTATATTAGGACAGGACTTCAATGAAGTGTTTCAAATATTTATAATATTGTTTTGGTTTGCTGATTGCCTTAAAAAAAACTGTTTAGGAACTGGGAATTTCATTATTCCATAACACTGCACATTAACATCAACAGACTTAGGTGGCTGACTGCCAAATTACTTCAGACTGCAAGGAAATTATAACTTGGCACCTTATATATCCGTTACTCACCTGTGACCTATGGCAGATTGGCGAGTAGAGGTTCCACATTCTGCATTTTCCTTTCTCCAAAGAAGGGCAAGGATAAAGTAAAGTAACCAGCCAATATAAGTCTTGCATTGAAATTTTGTGGCTGTTTAGTTTCATATGGACAAAACAGCTTTAGGGAACAGAAAAAATTAGTAACTCAATTCTCAAAAGAATATTCTAGCAGGAGAAACATTATTATTAAAAAAAACCAAACTTATTATTATTTAAAAAGGTTTTGCTATACTGGTTTGGTTTACAGGGGGAAATCATACACAACATCAGAATAGAAAAAAGAAAAGTTTATAGCTACATTTTTTTTTTTATATCAAATATTTTTGCATTGTTATTCTTATATTTTTTTAATAGAAAATATGTTTAACACTTTACAGCTTTACCGGCTAAATCAGAGGAGGAAGTAATCTCAAATGGAGTTATAGGAAAGAAGATAGAAGATACAAAGAAATTAAAAGATATAGAAGAAGATGAAGAGATAGAATTTATAGAGCAACCAAAGTCTAAAAATGATGTCAATAATTTTAATGAAAGTGCTGAGAATATTAAAAATGAACAGCAATCTAAGTCATTTAAATCAAACAGTGTCTCAACAAAATCCTCCTCATCTAAACTGAACAGTGCTAAAGACAATAGAAAAGGAAAGAAAGATGTCAATAAGGATGTGCCACCCACACCTGTTACATTAATTAATAATAAAGATGAATTTATAGTTAGGTAAGGTTAGCTTAGAACAAATATTATGTCAGAGGATGAATTTGGAGTTGCATTAAACTAATTTCCATTGTGTTTCTGTGTATTAACAGTAAACTTAATGACAAGCTGCATTTTTGTTTATGTCTTTTATAACATGCACAATGCTTCTACTTTACAGACCAGGTTTTGTCTGTAACCATTAGACTGTCCAAGGGAACTTTAATGAACATTATCAATGTTAAAAAGTTATTGCATTTTTACTGATGTTCCTATTCGCCACATGTCCGTCCGTACGTCCCAAAGTTAGTTTCTGTTCTCTAACTTTAAATTGCCTCAACCAAATGTTATTAAACTTATACACAATGCTTATTACCACAAAATACAGATCAAGTTTGAATTTTGGTGGCGTCACTTTAACCGTTCTAGAGTTATGCCCCTTTACAAATGGAAAAATTGCTGAATTTTTCGTTTCCGTTCTCTAACTTAAGTTTGCCTCTACCAAATACTATGAAACTTATACAAAATGCTTATTACCATAAAATACAGATCAAGTTTGAATTTTGTGGGTGTCACTTTTATTGTTCTAGAGTTATGCCCCTTTACAAATTGAAAAATTGCTGAATTTTTTGTTTCCGTTCTCTTACTTTAGTTTGCCTCAACCAAATGCTATGAAACTTTTACACAATGTTTATTACCACAAAATACAGATCAAGTCAGAATTTTGGTGGTTTCACTTTAACCATTCTAGAGTTATGCCCCTTTACAAATGGAAAAATTGCTGAATATTTTTTGTTTCCATTCTCTTACTTAAGTTAGCCTCAACCAAATGTTATGAAACTTAAACACAATGCTTATTTCTACAAAATACAGATCAAGTTTGTTTTTTGGGGTGTCACTCTTATTGTTCTAGAGTTATGTCCCTTTACAAATTTCTGAATTTTTTGTTTCCGTTCTCTAACTTAAATTTGCCTCTGTAACCAAATGTTATGAAGCTTATACACAATTGTTATTACCACAAAACTCAGATCAAGTACAAATTTGGGTAGCGTCACTATAACCGTTTTTCAGTTATGTCCCTTTATAACTTTATCTGATAGACAAGCGGGGGCATCATCTGTGTCCTATGGACACATTCCCCATTTATTTCATTATGTGGATGGTATTTTTTAATGTCAGATTTTCTTCGCAATACTCGTCCTTTCATGTTGTTATAATGCTGTCACTTGACATCCTGATACCCTCTTACATTAGATCTGTCATTGTGATGTTATACCATTATTCTTTCAATTGAAGTTGGTCTAAAATACATATTGCAAAAAAATATTGTTGACTACTGTGCTGGTAATACACTTAGAGAAAAGGTGGGAAACCAATTTTTTCTAAAGTTTTTTTTTGGTGACAACTAACTTTTGCCCTGTCTGTTGATGGACACATATACTTTGTGTGGTCTGTTGACAATGGTATGTGCTTAGCTCTATCAACGGGTTAAAGTACATTGTAAAAGTATGAGAATTTACGAGAAAAGAGTGATGCAAAGAAAGAAGCATCAAATACCAACTTAATACTGAACAAATACAAAGAATGTAAATACTTTACAAACAAAAAAAGAAGAAAAATTGTGTTCTTGATTATATCATGTTTTTCAAACATAGCAAAATTTATTTAAGTCAACATATAAATAAATCTGATAGACTCAGAAGTTAGATATGGTTTCTGATATTTAATTTTACTTGTGAACATTGCAGGTTAGAAACAGATGTAAAGAAATTAAAGACAGACCTACAATCCAGTAGGAATTGTGAACAGGAATTAAAACAACAGATAACTACATATCTTTTAGAAGACAAAAATCTTAGATCAGAATATTATCAGTTACAGATAGATAACGAAAATCTTCAAAATAAGTAAGCATTTAAACTGATTTTATTGTTGATGAGTATTATAATCATCATCAGATATCCATTGAATAATTATTTTTGTAGGTTGTAAAATATTCTCTATACTAAAATTGTATTTAAAAAAGTTTTTATACCCCCGCTCTGTCTGTCCATCTGTCCGTCCGTCCGTCCATCTATCCCTTGAATATTTTTCGTCACATCTTTCTCAGGAACTACATCACAAGGATTTCTGAAATTTGGTTTCAGGGTTTATACGAGTCAGCTCTACTGTGTGATGTGTTTTCAGATTCATCACTCAACAACTTCCTGTTTACCGAACACTTGTATCATTACCGAACACTTGTATCATTTTACACATGATAGCCAAGTTGAAAATTTTCGTCACATTTTTCTCAGGAACTACAATACAAGGATTTCTGAAATTTGGTTTCAGAGTTTATATAAGTCAGCTATACCGTGTGATGTGTTTCAGATTCATCACTAAAAAACTTCCTGTTTACCGTACACTTACATATTTTTACACTATTAAAAGTATCCACTTGTGGTGGGGGTACATATTTTTACACTATTAAAATTATCAACTTGCGGTGGGGGTACATATTTTTACACTTAAAATTATCCACTTGCGTTGGGGGTATCATCAGTGAGCAGTAGCTCGCAGTTTCATTTGTTGATACCAAATTTTAAAAACTTAAGGGATAATAATATTTCGTTGGTGGTGGTTGTTAGCTGGATAAGCAAGGTTTATGCCATTAATGGGTCCAGATGGTTTATCAATTATAAATAGCAAATTTAAAACACATCAAACAGTCTTAACAACCGTTTAGCACAAACAAACAAACAAAATTATAAAAAGTCAAATTTGTGCAAGAATACTGATATAAATTATTTGGCTCAACAAATGGCCTTCATCAGTGTCAGTCCTTTTCAAAATGTGATAAAACAACAAGTTCTTTGTGTGCTTAAACAGCTAACTCCTTCATTCAGGTAGACTTGAGCTTTATTCAATCATATATGTTATATATCAATGATGATTGGCAAAAAACCCAAGAATAAGCAAAAAAATATTTTTTCACGACAGGTCCAAACAGCTATCACTCTTGCTTTTAATGATCTTAAACTGAAAATATACAATTACATGAATGTGTTAAAAAGTGATGTTAAATGAAAAAGGAATGGACCAATGATTACCAACTGGAATTATTTACAGAAACCAAAAAATCCTTTTTACTATAATGATTCATGAAGAGAAATGAGCTAGAACAATTAAACTAATTTTGTGATGTCAACCTTCTCTCACAGTTAAAAGGTAGAATCTTTTTATTTGGTAGCACATTTGTACATATACTGAGTCGTTCACATTGATTTTCTTAATTTCTCACAAAAGTATAAGTGGTTAAACTTAGTCATTTTTATTAGAACATTGTTGGTTACCCTAAACAGAATACATTACAAGTCCAAAGATGTATCTATCACCAGAGTCTGATCATCATTATTTAAAAAATTGTTCTAGTAATTTTCCTTCAGTATATAGAGTTTGCCTGTGCCAAAAATGATGAATCCCTGGACTTGACTGAAAAAAAATCCTTCATGAGAGCCCTGTAATAACCTCTGATTACTTAAAATACAAAAAAACACAAAGCAAACATTCATCACATGAGTAGAAAACTTTAAACATGGGTGTGATGATGTTTAAACTTGTATGATTGAGGAATAAGTTAGTATACTAAACAAATTTTTATGCCCCTGCCGTAGCGGAGGGGGCATTAAGTTTTACCCTTGTCCATCTGTAAGTCCGTCCGTACGTCCCAAAATTGGTTTCCGCTCTCTAACTTTAGTTTGCCACAACCGAATGTTATGAAACTTATACATAATGCTTATTACCACAAAACACAGATCAAGTTTGAATTTTGGTGGCGTCACTTTTACCGTTCTAGAGTTATGCCCCTTTACAAATGGAAAAATTGCTGAATTTTTTGTTTCCGTTCTCTCACTTTAGTTTACCTCAACAAAATGTTATGAATCTTATATACAATGCTTATTACTACAAAACACAGATCAAGTTTGAATTTTGGTGGAGTCACTTTTACTGTTCTAGAGTTATGCCCCTTTACAAATGAAAAAAATGCTGAATTTTTTGTTTTCGTTCTCTTACTTAAGTTTGCCTCATCCAAATATTATAAAACTTATACACAATGCTTATTACCACAAAACTCAGATCAAGTACACATTTGGGTAGCGTCACTTTTACCATTCTTTAGTTATGTCCCTTTATAACATTATATGCAAGTGGGGGCATCATCTGTGTCCCATGGACACATTTCCCATTTATTTTTAATTGAATTTGCTATTTGTTAAATTTCAGACTTCACAATCTTGTTACAAGTAGGCAGCAAGACAAACAGAATATCTCACTTTTAGAAAAGAAAATGAATGAAGAAAGAAAGATGAGAGCGGGTATAGAACTACAGTTGAATACAGAACGTAAAGCTAAAAAGGCAGAAGAGGTTGCTGCAGCTCGGGCTATTGCAGTGGCTTCAACACAGAGGTAATAAATATATTACTGGAGTTCTTGTTTTAATCTCCTCTTGTCAAAAAGAGATTAGCAGGGGATGAATAAGGTATCTGACTTCATGTATTAAAAACATTTAAAACTGTATAGATAGAATAGCAATGTCAGATCTATTGAAATGTGTGCTTGTACTGCATCACCAATACAAGACAGTGTAACTTTTTGTATAAAGCATTATACATCAGAAGTAAGAATACTTGGATGCTTCATATGGTTACCAAGTTAAGTTTATTCATCATGTGAATTTCTCACTTATTTTGAGTAATAGGATAATTAAATTTGGAATTTGGGATCCTTGCAAGGTCTATGTGTTTGACAAAAAGTGTTCACTTCAACTTGACCTCATTTCATGGATCAGTGATCAAGGTTAAAGTTATGTGATAAGGTTGTTTCTAAGAAACTATAAGCAGTAGGTCAACTATATTTGGTGTATGGAATGTTTGTAAGGTGTACATGCCTGTCTGGCAGGTATCATCTGAACTTGACCTCAATTTCATTGTTCAATGGTCAATGTTAAGTTTTTCTGGTTAAGTTTGTTTCTGAGATACTATAAGCAATAGGTCAAATTTATTTGGTGTATGGAATGATTGTAAGGTGTACATGACTGTCTATCAGGGTTCATCTAACCTCTCATTTACATGGATCATTGATAATGTAAACTTTATGAGATATTTAAAGTAAAACCTTTATCTTAGAGACCTTTTATATAAAATTGATCATGATCAGTAAAGCAGGCAAGGCATATTGGCGTGTGTAAAAAAATTTATTCAAAATATTGTGTGAAATTCTTTGACCCGGTGGCTGGAAAAATAGATGATATACATATGTCACTATATAATGACCTGAATAGTGTTATGAGTATCCAAAGCTGGTGATTTAAGAGGGAAAACATTCAAAAGAGACGACTGTACATACATTTAAGTCTGTGGAATAGAACAGTTTGAAAACTTGCATCCAATGGTAATAATGTATTAGTTATTCAATAAAATACAGTAAAGCTGAACCCAAGTCAGGTGCAGAATTATCTGGTATTAAATATAGGAAAAACAAGTTAACTTTTGATTTAAATTATCTGTTCTTTAAATTTTTTGTTCTTTTTAATCTAATTGCAAAAACTAGTTCACTTTTGACTTTCTCTGACAGAATTGAATGTTCAGAACAGTGTAAATCTAAACAGAGAAATATAGAAACAGAAATAAAACAGTATCAACGAGATCTCAAAATGAAGGAAGAACAATACAGACAGTTAGAATATGAAAATCAGGTAATTAAAATAATGTGCAAGGAGACCAAACATTTATGGAGATTATAATAATATTGAAGCTTTAAATAAAATTTAAGGTACATATGCATAAACATAACATTTTGAAAACATTTTAATGGTTGAGTGCATTTTATTATTTATTCTTTCGATAGTTTACCTTCATTCCTTTTCATGACATGAAATTAACTATATAAACTCTATGCAAAAGGGAAAAACTTAACAATAGTTTAAACAAAAAATAAATGTATATTCAAAGTTACAAATGCCAATAAAGACAACATTTTGGTTTACAAAGTTAGTGCATGCATTATGAAATAGAATATATATACTGTACGACCACTAATGATAGAAGTCAAGATATTTTGACACAATTTATTTGACACCAAGGAAAACAAATTCACTTAATTTGAACACATTCTATAAATCAATTTTATTTCTAAAAACTGAAAAGTGAAAATTTTAATAAAATTGACACCTAATTGATATCTTCCAAAAAAAAAAAGATTTTTTTTGTTTTCTAGTCGCATTTCTGTTCAATGCACATTCTAAAATTTTAAATCTATGAATTTGATTTTTGACATTTTCACAGGAAAATTTGGGTGTCGGTTTAACAATGACCTCTTCTTCATCAGCTATATATTAATTTCAAGTAATTGCTTAAAATAGTTCAATTTTAAATTATACAAGGTAGAACTTTATGTGTCAGGGTATTTAGTCTGTAAAATGATGGCACATTTCTTGAATTGCTAATTATATTCCACTGATATTTGCAGAAACTTCGACAGTTAAAAGATCAACAAAATGAAACAGAAGTGTTGATGTCAGCTTTGGCAGCAATGCAGGATAAAAATTCTCATCTAGAAAACAGTCTTAGTGAAGAAACACGCATCAAATTAGATTTGTTTTCAGCATTAGGTGAAGCCAAAAGACAGATTGAAATACTCAAAGGTAGGTCTTTCATGAGTGGGAAAAAAATAATCAGGAAAAAAGGAAGCTACTAAGCAGCTTGAAATTCACTGTAAGGGCTGTTCCTAAATTCATCATGGTGGGGGATGAGAAGCACACAAATTAATCAATTGTGGGTGGTTGCATTTTCCTTAGAATTTTGTAAGAATTAGGAGTAAAATGAAAATTTAATACTGTGTGGTTTAGGTCTAAAAAAAGTGCCTCCCAGCCCCACTATGTGTTTATTTCTGGAACAGCCCTTGAGTAAAACATACCTTTATCTTGTCATAATGATATTTAGTATGCAGTTTAACAAGTGAACTCTTGTGTACATTTCAAAGGCAAATTCACTGACTGAGATAAAATATTACCCAAGAATGACTCTTAGAAAACCTGTTAATGTAGAAAAAATTAAGCATCTATGCTGTGAAAAAATGAGACAGAAATTAGAAGAAAAATAAACAAATGTGGCAGAGGCTCAAACAATCCTTTATTATCAAATATATTCCTGAATAACAATAAGCTTTACTTCTTTCACATTAGTTGCTGTTCTCCCTTAATAGTCCCCTACCAATGAAGTCGAAGGGGACTTTAGGTTTGCACTCCATCCATCTGTCTGTCTGTCCATCCGTCAGTCCAGCAAATCAGTTTTCCACACTTTTTTTCTTCGTGCTTGAAGATATAGATTTGATATTTGGTGTATTGTTTTATCATGACAAGTTACAGATCAAGTTCGAATTGTTTCCGGTCTGAAGATTTTGTGCAGAGTTATGGTCCTTGGACTTAGAAAATTCACACATATAATCAGTTTTCCACACCTTTTTTCGTCATGCTTGAAGATATTGATTTGATAATTGGTATATAGTTTTATCATGACAAGTTACAGATCAAGTTCGAATTTTGTTCCGGTATGATCATTTTGTGCAGAGTTATGGTCCTTGGACTTAGAAAATTCACTCAATGCAATACTCTCAGAATGCTTGTTATAATTCAGATTCATTTAAAGGCATTAATACACAATTTTGATGTTATTTTGAAAATGTTTCATTGTATATTTATTGGTATAGTTGATGATGATCTGTTAGTATAAGTTCTTATTGGTAGACCAGCTTACCCCTATCTCTTAGCAACTGAGTTCAACCAATATATCATCAGACAGTCACTGAAAATTAGGAAACCTCTTTTGTAGTTTTCTTTTTTTGTTATGAATAAAAGTCATCAATGAAACAACAACCCATGAACACAAAAAGTCAGAAGACATACTTATCAATACCCTTCCATGAGTTTAGTTTATTGTTGAAGTAAGTTTAAAGAAACTTCTTTGATACTATTACAGTAAACTATAAAGCAAAAAATATAAGGCCATGGTATGTCATAATTAATGGTAATGATTAATAATAAGATACCTTGTCTCTGTACATTTCAGGTTATCTTATAGAAAAAGACAGAGAACTTGCTGATATCAAGTCCAAAATAGCTGAAGCAATGGCCTTACACATGATTCCCACATCATCAGCCTGTATGAATGGTACAGACACTGTCATGACTTCACCATTGTATTCAAGCAAACAACAGAAAGATGACGGCATCGTTAAATCTAATCTGAACCCACATGCATCAGATTACACTCCTAAAACTACCACATAAATTGCGATGGAACTTTATTAACAACCTTTTAGCTTCTGGACTTTGTCTATAGATGTTTTCCTCAGTGTATTATGACTGGCATCCCTCAAATGCATATGATTCAAAGTTTTATAGACACAAAGATTACTCACCACTATTACGCAGTTTTATAGATTTTTATACGACCGCAAATAATCTTTGCGGTCGTATATTGGTATCACTTCGTCGTCCGAAGACATTTGGTTTCCGGACAATAACTTTAGTTTAAGTGTATGGATGTCTCTTAATTTGTACCACATTTTACAAAAAGAAAATTTCTTCAAAATTATTTTTTTGGAAAAAGGGGGGGGGGGGGGGGGGGAATTTCTCCTTAAATATTATTTTTTTATGAGAAGGGGGGTCATTAAAAATTTCCCTCAAGATTTAAGAAATTGTCAATTTTCCAAAGAAAAAAATTGGGGGTCACAATTTATTTTGCTGATTCTTTGTATATAGTCTGAAAACAGATTTACTAAGTATTGCGCAACAGCACAGTGTATTACACAAAAGCAAGATATCCTCAATTGAATATAAATTCAAATCATACAACCAATTTCAAGTTCTTTGACTACATTTATTCTGTGTCAGAAACCTATAATGTGTCAAATATTTAATTACAATCCAAATTCAGACCTGTATCAAGCTTGAATATGTGTCCATTTTTGCCCCAACTGTTCAGGGTTGGACCTCTGCGGTCGTATCGAGCTGTGCTCGGCGAAGCAGTTTATTTGATAAATGAAATTTTAGTTGGAATATTGAAAACTCAAAAATTATTTGGATGTCAAAAATAATCTGGAAATATTTATTATATCTTTGATAAAGAGACCCTTAAAATGATCATATATATTGGTATAATCAGTTTGAACATAAACTAAAATGAATGGTTCATGAATTTGATATTTAATTATGTTTTTTCTATAAAGTAAACCAACATTATAAATCCATATTTATACTTTTGTTAGTCAAAAACTTTTTTTCATATTTTGCATTTGAGGTAGTTATTTTATTTTGTGTAACTTGTATGCCAGTGTTTATTTACTGAGAGTTATCAGAAGCACTTAATTTACAACTCATCTTGATGAAATAAGGGTTTTTCAGAACGTATATTTTCACAAAACTATATTGTGATGTCTATCTGACCATCAAATATTCTATGCGTCTCATGAAAAATGATCATGTATGCAAGTTGTTTTATGAATATCAAAAAGAAATTGAAAAAATAATGTAGTGTTGTTCAGTGCCATCCAACTAAAGACAGTTTATGAATGACTTGTGTATAAGGGATTTTCCATGTCAGAGTATATAAATATGTGTTAATTATAGAAGCACTGATAAAGAGAAATATGTCACATTAAAAAAAAATTTAAAAGGTCGCGAGAAAACTTAATTGTTTTTTCTTACATCAATTTTAGAGTACTTTCTCTCAGTTCTTCCTGTTTTTCATATGGCTCAAAATGTTTTTCTTTCTGTGCAAAATACTGGCACTATAGTGAAATAAGATTAAATGCAAAATAAAATAAAATTTACAAGTGATATGGAGTAACTATCAGTTCTTCTTGACATATAGTTTACTGTCAAAAGTACACCCTGAAAAATCTCTGTTTCATCAAGATAGTTGTAATTAACAAGATAAAATCCATGACAGGGAATGCTTTGGAAAGAATATTGGCTCTTTCTATTTACTTAAATGGCAATGTTGCTGTGTTAACCCTGCTGAAAGAACTGTTTGTTTGAAATAGGGAAAGCAGTGATAATTGAAATATGAAAGAAATGTTTATTAAGATTTTCTTGAGTGTTCATTGCCACTAATCTGCTGAAAGTATACTGCTTATAATGATATTAAAAATAATACAAAAACTATTCTATTTATTTGCAATAACTGAAATGCGAGAAAACAAATTTTATATATTTTTGCCTGGCTCAAAGTATTATATTCAATGTACTAAAAAAAATACTTGGCAGGTCATTGGCTGTGAATATTTATGAAAATTTCAAGAAAGTTATTGTGTCTCCCAAACACTGTTCCATTTTAAGGGAGATAGTATAAAATATTGTTATTCTTGCCAGATATGAACGATCAGAAAAAGTGCTTTGAATAGGATAGTTGCATCATTCTTTGTAAGATTCTGAATTGCATTGTACTTGTACAGATTTTTTAACTTCATCATTTATTTTTCATAAACTAATTAATGATTAATTTGAAAACAGTTTAAGGTCTGCCAGCACCTTTACAATTACGTTCTTCTGAATTTACATTAATTCTATTGTTTTTTTTACTCCTTTTTTTCAAGATACATGCCAAAAATATAAGTGATCTGTCAGATATGAGTTGATTTAGTTGTCTTATTTTTTGATAGGTATCAAGTTTTGAAAGGGTTGTAAAGGAAAAAATTAAATATTAATTCACGTATATTGAAAAAGCTGTATATTAAACAAAAATTTCCTTTATATCTTAAGACGTAATGAATAACTAGATTTCAATTTAAACTTGACTGTTTTCCATATGAATTCAGTGTTTAAAATCTTGGAAGATATTTTAACGTAAAAGGACATAATACATATGCCCCCATGCTTTCAACACAAATTCCTTGGTAAGAAACAATTGTAATAGTATTTTCAATAAACATTTATGATGGCTATTACAATGTGTCAATTAAATTTATTTTATTAATGATAGTACAATATTTACAACACTGTATTACTGTATTTTTAAACAGTCATTCTTTAGTTGGTTATCAAAACATTGGCCATTTTTTCTTTAAAAAAGGATATTGACATTAATTAATATTCAAGTGACCAATCTGAAACTTAAAATTACGCCAATTTAAATTTTTTTTTAAATCTAGCCAAAGTCACAAAATTTATCATGGATTTGAATACATTATGGTTTGCAACAACGAATATAAACTCTATAATATAAATACATCAATATATCTTGACTCCTTTAACAGCAAAATATTTTTTCAAATAATCTTACAAGACAGAAGAAGTAACTAGAAGTATCAAAATATTTTTTTATTATTCTTGATAAGAAACTTTTAACATTGCATAATAAAGTATAGAGGATGATGCAGCTATATTGTTAAAGAAGATACCATCAAAGTTGATATTGTTTTTGTGGTAAATGTAAAGCTTATATGTTATAGTTTTGTGTGGTATAGTTTTATTTCTGGGTATCAAAGCCACATAATGTAATTTGTTGTTGAAAGAGAAACAGGAGAAGCCAGAAATAAACAAAGCATTTTTGTTATATATTTGTCTTTTATTTTGTAAAGGTCAGCGACTCATTTCACAAAAATTCGTACAAGTGAAAATACTCGTAAGTCATGAACATTTCAGTACAATTTTAATCGTAAGATATTTTGTGAAATGAGACCCAGGTGGGAAGACTCTCTCTTAAAGAGAGCAGCTTAACAGTGATTATGGTAACATTTGAGGGCTTTTTGATCTGTCAGATACCCACTTCCTGTTTTCCGATACTTTGAATTAGATGGGGGTATGCTTAGCACAACAACACATAAATTCTTGTCTTATCTTCGTGAATGTTGCAACAAAGTATGCATTAGATTTCACAGAAGTGATTATGGTAAAAGTTAAAAGTCACACAACTTATGCTGCAATTGCCATCTGCTTGAGATTTATATGACAAGCTTTTGCTTTAGACGGGTCTATTTTATATTTATACCCTGCTTGAGGAAGGGAATGTATTATGATTGTTGTGCAATAGAAAAGAAAGGATGTGGTGTATCTATTTGTAACTCAAAATCACAACTGGCAGAGGAAAACGAAATTAAGGAAAAGGGCCTTCATAGATACACTTCAACTACAAACACTGTGGCCTTCAATATGTAGCAAAAACTCAATTAACTATTAAGATTGCCCAAAGCAGAGGTTTAAGTGGAATTCTAGTTGTCTGTGTATATAAGAACACATTTGAATGGTAATATCAACTAATTGTGAATTATATCAGGTGGCCAAGAAATCTAAAAAATAATGTTATGTATTGCCTAACAATCTTACTGTCAATAGAAATAAGAGGATGTGGTATGAGTGCCAATGGGACAACTCGCCATCAAAGTCACAATGTGTAAAAAGTAAACAATTATAGGTCAAAGTATGGCCTTCAACACGGACCCTTGGTTCACACCGAATAGTAAACAGGAAAACCAACTAATCTATATAAAAAACGAGAAACACTTAGGAACCACACCAACAAACGACAACCACTGAACAACAGGTTCCTGACTAGTACAGAAACAATATAAACATGTATACAACCAGTGATCACATCAAGTTATTTGTTCGATAAAGTAGCAGGAAATTATGTATGAGTAGGGCAATATTTATTGTGAATTGCATACAATTTCAATAAACAACGAGGTCAAAAGCGATAAAATGAAGTAGCATACATAAGAGAAGTAATTTAAGAATAGATATGCCCTCACTGAAAAATTTAATAGCATACACTTAAGGCACAGGGCACACAGCTGTGTGATAATATCAACAAATGAATTATATCTGACAAAGAAATCGAAAAATGCTGAACAATCTCACTAAAATACAGAAACATTTAATAGTCCGCACTAAATCTGCAAATTTTGCTAAATCACATTTTAGAAATCAATAAAATATGTTTTAGGGCCACACCAATTATTTGGGGAAGTCCTAAAGTAATCGGCTTGTTTCCACCATTTCCAATTTATCTTTAAAATCACTTTGAGCTAAGTGGTGGAACTTGGTATGATTACCGGTATTCACCTTTACTAGAAGGTTAATTGCATACAAGGGAGAAAACTACATTGAAAGTCATGGACACGAACTTAGTTAAACTTAGCCACCCATGTGCATATGCCGCTGTTTAGAATTAAAACCCCTTGGCATTCAGTGAGGAAACATTGGCAACATTACAGTCTACTTCTAGCAGGTGTGGTGTATGCACAGAAGAAACCCGGATTTGTTTTCCCTCAATCGATTTATGACTTTTGAACACCGGTATACTACTATTGGCTTTATTAATTATGAATTGGCCAAACCACTTGTGTGCAAACGTGAGGTCAAGGCTGTATAAATATGTCCGATGAACACACCCTCTTCACATCCACT